TTACATTTATAAATTGTTGTTATGCCTTCCATACAAATATACCTACTCCATACTTTTCTTATGCCAGAGTACACAAATATGGATTGAGTGGGGGTATTCCTCCTCTTTTTTAAAGGCTGACCATGTGTCTTATTGGTGCAAACATGCACTCAGAAGAAAGAGTGAGATAACTCTGTAGCAGAATCAACTGTTAAAGCATTTAAGAAATACATTTGATACATATCGAGTAGTGACAAATGAGAAGGAGAAAGTGTGGAGATGACTTGGCAGGAGAAAAAGGTGAAAGGCAAGGGGAATTGGAAGAATCAAAAGCTTATACTTATTGGGGGGTCCCCATTGAGAGGATGCTGCTGCCAGGTGGGGCTCCATACTTCCTGGGGTGGCCTGCTTAGTCATGGCAAAGGCAAGGCAGCGGACACCTGGGTGTTAGCCACATGTCATCTTAGAGATCATACCATATTTACTTGTGGCACTGCTTCTCAAACTTTAATATGCATATGAATATGCATATGAATATGAATAGAGGGAATCTGATAAGAGGGCAGGTTCTTATTCATGGATCTGGGTCAGGGCCTGAGGGGCTGCCCACGCATTTGGTGGGTGGACCACACTTGAGGTTTTAGAGCACAACAGCTAATTTTGACATGGTTACAACAAAGCGTGGTTGCAGGGAATAATAGCTACCAGAAGAGTGATTCTCAACTTGACCACTGCCGTAGAATTGTAGGGGGCTCAGGGGACTTTTTACAAAATTTGCATGCCTAAATCCCTCCAAGAACAAAAACTCAGAAATTGTGGGGCAACCCTAGGCTTCTTACTCATGCTAACACTTCCTAGGTGATTCTAATGTGCAGACTTCGGTGAGAACCACTGACCTAGGGGTAAGGCCTCCAAAGCTTTGCCACTGGGAGTACCCCACACACCAGAGAGTACATGTCAGGAGAGCACAGAGGAAAAGTCAAAGTTTAATCAGGTTACTACTAAAAATAGTCAACCTTGTACAGGAACCTAAGCAACCTTTGTTTAAGCCTGTCTCCTGTTCTGATCTTTAATCACTGTCAGTTGTGAACTGATGCATACTACTCTTTCAATAAAAAGATTTATTTTATATTTTATTTTTAAAAGATTTTATTGATTTATTTTTAGAGAGAGGGGGAGGGAGGGAGAAAGAGAGGGAGAGAAACATCGATGTGTGGTTGCCTCTTGCACACCCCCTACTAGGGACATGGTCTGCAACCCAGGCACGTGCCCTGCCTGGGAATTGAACTGGCGACCCTTTGCTTTGCAGCCTGGTACTCAATCCACTGAGCCACACCAGCCAGGGCAAAAGATACATTTTAAAGATAAAAGGCAAGATGAGCTGAATTTCAACATTGTGACTGCAGTGTATTCATGCCTGAACATGGTTTGGGATGAGGGGTGGGCTGGCCACAGTGAGCTGATGACAGCACGTGTGGCAGGTGTCCAGACAGAAAGCTTGGTCACCCACCGGTCTTGCATCGTGGTGCTACTACTTCCTAGCTGCCTGACTTTTGGAAAGTTGGTGAACCTCTCTCCGTGTCACCCTCCTTATCTGTAAAATGTGGATAACAATGTTCCTGCTTCACAGTGTGGTTATGTGGGTTATAGGATTTAATATCAGTAACATTCTTAGAACAGTGCCTGGCAGAGAGTAAATGCTAATTACGTATCAGGTGTAGCTATAGAAGAGTCTCTAAGTGCATATACTTGTCTCTTGCCAGAACAAGCGATGATGTTTGATTTCAAGCCTCCTGAGAATTACTGACTCTGACAGGGAATGGCCGCGGAGAGCCCAGAGAGTCCTGGTAGAACTGTGTGGAGCTGTAGCCACGCGTGATGAATAAAGGCCCACTGTTCTTCTCAGCAGGAGGAACTCTCCAGGGTGTTTCTCTTGGTGGCTTTTTGACTGGTGCTGGATGGAGTGACCCTCTGGCCCGGGCACCTGTAGTGCTTATCACGCTCAAGGAGCACTCAGCCTCCCTCAGCTGATTGGCATGTGAATGTCCGTATCCACAGACTGGCCAGGCAGGAGAGCGGGATTCTTCCTCTTCTGAAGGTGCTGTCCGTGCCAGGGCCAGATGGGCCATGCTGCACATCGCCATTTGTCAAAAGTGCTTTGAAGTGGTGACTCTTGTGGTCATTACAAAGCAGCCTCCCTATCCCCGCTGTGCTGGGCAATCTTCCAGAAGGAGCTGCCACCAGAGCCAAGCAGTGGATCTCAGAGAGGCCTGGGAGAGGGGCAGCCTTAAGCCTACATCCTGCCACAAACAGGGAGGTGGAAGAATCTTCTTGTGAGCTTAAAAAGTATCTTCTGGGAGCCTGCGTGTTGCAAGGGAAAGGCCACGACTATCGGTAGCACAGGATGAAAAGCTGCTATTTAAGATATTTACCAAGTTCTTCTTTCAGAAAAACAGAGTCCCAGGGCCTTTATCATGAACAATGAGTCCAAGCTTGCATCGGAAGTAACAGGTTTTCCCATGACGGTCTGGCCCCTGCTCCATGACCTGCTCATGGGCAAACCCTTTCCCAACTAGGAAACCTCAGAGGGCTACAGGCAGGGTGTTGCTGTTCCCTCCGGAAGCTGGCCTACTGATGACCCATCCTTTTAGGGTCATGGTCATAACGTTACTTAGTGGTAACTTGGTAACGCAGATCGTCAATCTGCGGGTCCCTAATAGCACTGACTGGCATTTGCTGCGTGGCCAGACCTGTGCTGAAAACTGTTTACGTGGATTCTATTTTTCTTATCCAATTGGCACAACCACACGGTGGGATCGTTCTGTCAGTACTGCTTTTACAGAGAACCGGCAGGAGCCAGGGTGGTATCCAAGGCAACAAGCTGGGGGGCGGGGGGCGGTGTGGCTGAGCCCGGTTCCCACCTGAACACAGCACTCCAGAGCCCCTGCTTTTACCTTCAAGCTCCAGGCCTTTACCGTTTCGTCTTTCTCAGGCTGCAATTTCCCCCCACCCCCCAAAAATTTCCTTTTTCCTTTCTAGGTTTTGGTAGAGGCGACTGTGCTTTGTTGTTTCACTCTATCTGGACAGCCCTACCAAGTCCTTACTCTCGCTTCCCGAAACCCTCAGGGAACACCCTCGACTTGGGTGGTCCACAGTACTGCGTGTCCACTGTCCAGGAATTACATGCCAAATCTTTCAGATTCCAATCCAAAAACTGATTCCTGTGAGGGTGATAAAGGCAACCTACTCCTCCTCTTGAGGGACAGTGAGGGCTTCCTGGTGGCCCTCCCTGCAACTTAGGTTCTGCAACAACCTGGGCCTTCCACCCCCGCCCCCAGGGGGACCTGCTGGACAGTGACACGCTGCTTTTCCCTTCTTGTCCTTCACATGGCAAAGGACTGACGGGCCTGCCTCTTATGTGCCATCCCTGTTTCTTGCTGTAATCGAAAAATGCAGTGTCATTTTTAAAAGCAATGGGGCATCTAAAATAGTCAAATTTGGAGAAACAGAGAGTAGAATCATGGTTGCCAAGGGCCGGAAGGGTAAATAGAGGTACTATTCAATGGGTGTGAAGTTTCAATTATATGAGACAAATAAGTTCTAGATCTGCTCTACAACACTGTGCCTATAGTTAACATTACCATCTTGTACACTTAAAATTTTGTTAAGAAGGTAGATCTCATTCTAAGTGTTTTTACCACAAGAAAAAAGGGAACTTACAAATAATATGAGTGCTCATAGGTAGAACTTAGAGTTCAGTTTAAAATACACTGCTAGCTATTCTCTTTCTTTACCTATATGGAGTAAAACATATAAATGTGTTAAAGAAAAGTGTCCTTTCCATGTATATAAATACACATTTGAGAGCTGATTTATATTGTAGTGAGAGGTCAGCTAATTACCTGCTTCTTCTCTTTTTGATGTACACATAAAAATGTTATGTGTGCTCAAATAATTCTCTCTTAATTTTCACCATTTAATGGTACATAATACTGTAAAAGCCCATGGATCGGCCAACATAAATCCTACTCACTACAATATTACCTAAGTGAGCTGATGGGTATGTTAATTAGCTTGAGTGCGGTGACTATTTCACAATGGACACATATATCAGAACACTGAGTTGTACGGCTTAAACATATATATTTATTTGTCAATTATACCTCAATAATGATGAAAAAAGAAAACCTGTCCGAAGTCCTTAGAATCTACCTGGCATCCTCAATAAACAGTAATCATTATTATAAAAACAAAAACTTGTGAGCACCAATAGGCTTTCTTTTCCTCTGTAATTTCAGAATGCAGAATACCATTGCCTCGTTAAGGTCTGAATGTGTATGCTTGTCAAAATATACAAATCCTAAAGATATTCTTTTAAAGAAGTGGAAGAAAAATTACTCTAAGCATACTAAAGTACAGCTTTGGAATGATGAGCTTTCCAAAAACCAAAGGCTTATGCCAGGCAGCCAGGAAGCCAAGTTTTCTGCTGGACACACCCATGGAGTGCTGGAAGGTACCATTGCTCTAGGCTGCAGTACAGGTGGAAAAGGGAGGGCTTTCCACGACAGCTACAAAACACATTCCTCAGGGTTTAGGAGACAGGAATGGAATTTAATCAATAAACATCTCTCTAAATCCATACTTGCTTTCTTAAAAACTTAAAAAAAAAATCAAATCTTTTTCAATTAAAACTTAGGGAAAACAGACCAAGACGTAAGGTGAGATGCAATACCTAAGTGTGGCAAAGTCGGGAGAACCAGTACTGTTATTTCCAGGGTAAAAGCCTGAAGTGAAGCAACACAAAGCATGCAGAGCGCCATGACTCAGGATGACGGGCCACACAGCCTACTTCCCGCAGGTCCAGCCCTTAGTGGGAATTCCCCACAGTTATGACCAGGGAAAGGCTCACCCCACTGCTGGGCTCTGCTTCACCCCACTATTTATGCCAGCTGGGGAAAGCGGCTGTAAGCAAGCAGCACAAACGCGGGCGCACGTAGAGCTGGGGAGCTGCGGGCACTCACCTCCGCAATCTTCAGCACAGCACTCCCGTTCAGGTCAAATGTCGGGGTGTAGGTAATGCAGAGTAAAACCTTTACCAACAAGGAGGTGAGGGAAGAAGGAAGAGAGAAGGGGTTAAAAATGTAGAAAGTACTGGTAATTCCACATGGTCTCTGTGCAGTCCTGCTTATGATTGCTTTGCTCTTCGCTTTATTGACTGTGTTGCTATTCCACCCACTGCTCTCTAATTAGTGGTCACACATTGTCCAATAAAATAGAGAGATACTGTAAAAGTAAAGGCTGCTACCCTCACCCCCAGGGAAGGACCACTGCAAGACAGGCCAGCAACAGCATTCCCCAACAACTCCAGGAGGTCTGTTTAATAATAATGAAAACTAAGTGGCCAGCCTCAGTGCTGGGCGCTATACACGAATGACCTAGATTGTTTTTTAAGTATGTGTCATGATTATTGTCCTTATTTTACTGATAAGGAAACTGATGCTCAGAACAATTAAATCAGCTGCCCAGGATCACTCAGGCAACAAGTTGTGGAGCTAAGCTTTGACCCAAGTCATCCGACTCCACGCCTTGAACCCCTTTGCTGTACTGTTGCTTCTTCTTCCTAGATCAAGCCTTACTGTACTTTCCTGTTCCTGTCCCCTTCCCACAGGGGATTAGAAATTGTTTAGTGGGCACTTTTCTCTTCCCTCCTGTAATTTCCCTCCAAATGCTCCAGGATTTACTTATTAGTCCCAGGTTCCCTTTATTCCCCAAGATATATAGACAGCAATTCGGTGACATTTGCAAGATGTTTAATGACCATTAAAAATCTCACTTTCTACTTGTAGAGCTATTAGAGAACAGATCGATGAAAGCCTGTGGCATTTTAAGAATTGCTTCTAATTTCAGAGATAAAACGTCAGGCTCTCCCCTGTCCATTTGATTTCTGACGCTGCGACTTTGCTCGCTGGTAGCCTGAGACATCAAGGTGCCAGTTGCTGCTCCTTAGTCCCAAACCCAACAGCCATGTCCTGCCTGCCCCTTGGCCTGTTGGTGGCAGCTTTCCAAGAATGTCTCCCATTGGGTCCTGCTCAATTCATGCAAGAGCACTGAAGCCTAGCAAATTTACTCGACACAGGTTATACACCTCATTGGCACACCAAAAAGTGCAATTGTGGATGGGACAAGGAATCTCTCCTAATATCTCCTTCTGAGTCACCAACCAGGCCAATCCTAGAAAAGCAAATACAAGGTCGGTCCAGAAGGTATCCAGCCACATAATATGAAAAGTAGAGACATTTATTGAAGAAGATACGAGATACAAAAAACATTGTACACAGGACAATGACACTTCAGTCCCCTTCCAAGTAGGCACCTTGGGACCTCATACAGTTCTCCCAGTTGTCATCAGCTGCCCCATCGTATCTGGCTGAATCTCATTGACAGTCTGAAATCTACTCCCTTTCAAAGGTGATTTTTAGTTTTGGGAAAAGTCAGAAGTCACAGGGTGCCAAATCTGGGACATAGCAGGGCTGAGTCACCTGGGCGATATGATGTTTTACCAAAAAACTCTGCACGAGATGTGAGGCATGAGCAGGTGCACTGTCGTGATGGAGCCTGCCAATCACTAGTTGCCCATAGCTGCAGCCGTTTTTTGTCGTTTTGCCTCTCTGCACTCATTGCATCATCCCCAAAAGCCTTCTGAACCACCTGAATAGTTTCCGTGGAGCCCAAGCTCAATGGAAAATCTGATGCAGCTCCATCGCTCTACTCACTCAGTCATTTTGAATGTGATGGCCATGGAGTACACCTGCTCACTCAACAGTGTCTACTGCCCCCACGGAGTAGTACAGTGAAGGCATAATTGTTCACGCATGTGGATTCCAGTCCACTCTCCTTGGCTTCCAGGTTACATCAATGTTGGGCGAACTGTTCTCATTATATTAACAGCTGGACTTTTTCCAGACAGACCTTGTAGGTATGAAATTAAAAAAGGAAAGTGGGGGGAGGGTTTGCCAAGGTTACACACATTAGTTGTGGGTCTGCTCCTCAGTTTAAGGTGCCTGATATCCAAGAATCAACACCTGATAAAAATCGTTCCAATGCCATGCTGGCTGGAAGACAAGGACGGTGGGGGCAACTGCTCTATGGCCTCATAGGAAAAGGCCTTCTTCTGCTTAATGACTGTCTTTGTGGGGTTGGGGTTTGGTAGGCGAGAAAACTGTGGGGAGCAGAGTCGCCAGGACTGGCCTGGGGAGAGATCGCGTCTTCTAATGCCTCTGTGTTAGTTGCACCTTTGCCGGAAACCCTCCTGTCCTGGACTCCTCCTCTGCTTGTTCCTCACATCTCTCATTTAGCTGGCTTCTTTCAGGTCTCAACTAAAATGTCCCCACCACCGAGGCAGCCATGCTCTCTATCATGGCCTCTATCACATCTCTTCATTTCATTTACTTCAGAGCATGTACCAGCCTCATAAACTAAGGATTTGTTTACTTATTTACAATCTTCCTAATAGACTACAACATCCATCGAGCATCTGAAAGGTCCTCAGTCTTCATCATATGATGCTTTCTTTAGGTTTTTGCTGCTTCCCACACTTTCCCTTTCTTGAGTGGTATTTCTCCCCCCCACCCCCATGTTTATGGCAGGCGAATGGGAGGGTCATTGGAGGCGGTGGTCTGTGGGTGTGGGGAGGTGCATGCGTCCATTTGGGTTCTTGGATTTATAGGTATTCACAACAAAGACTGGCAACTGGCAATTCTGTACAATATAAAATAATGATGGTTAATAGTGTTCCCCAGAGGACTGACGGGATTGACTTTCTGCCTTCCATCCGGTGTACATTCATACCAAGTGCACAAAAGTAGGTTTGAAAAGAAACAATAAAAAACCCAACCCAGCTTTCTGTGAGCAAGAGCTGCTTTTTGGAGGCAGTGGCTGGAGGAAGTGGGAGCAGTGCCTATGGTGAAGTCTTCAGGAAAGGCTCTGAGTGGGCAGCATTTAGTAATCAAGATCCTCGGGGAACAGGGGAAGCTCTCTTCCCTCAGCCACAGGGAAGCTGGGAAGTGTACAAGGAGGCCTTGAAGCAAGATCTGCAGCAGACAGGCTCCCTGCACCCACCCAAGGCTGATTTTGTTCAAAAGATCTTTGAAGAAAGTCTTTCCACACCTGATGCCTGGCCACCAATACCTAGAGACTCACTGAGCTCTATGCAAAAACTAAGCACGACGACGACGGAAGGAAAGTGAAGCACAGTAACAAAGCGAGATCCAGAGGCTCGCACAGTTTGTTGTGTTGGAAGCACAGCAGGTTTTAATTACAGGGCTGACAATGCCCACGGTCCCCTGTGACTCACAAGATATATAAAGGGCACACAGTGTCTAGCAAGGATGATGCAGCAGACAGAAATGACTTATCAGAAAGGCTCAACGGGAAAACAGTTAATGTGCCCAACACCTAGCAAGCATTAATTCACTGCATTAAAGCACAGCCTGGATGAAGGGAAACTTAGAGTGACAACAAATTAATTTACAGTGTCTGACTTTCACTGCATATTGAGAGGGCAAAAATTTTAAATTCACATTCTGAGCACGTTGGCCTCAAGGCAAACAAGAACATCTCAATATCAAGGGTAGTTCTATTAAAAATACACCCCTCATGGGGTCCTGAAATCATACTGACTACATTACCACTGAACAAAAGGAACGTGAGGGAGAGATAAGCAGCATCTTGCAGTCCAGCTGGGTGGCACTGCCTCTATAAATGAGCTAAGAGGATGGGGGGTGGGGGAAGGCCCAAAGTCTTCCATTAAAGGGAAAAATCATTACAAAGCCTACAAAAATCACTAAAAAACCCCCAATAATCGAAGAGCTACTATGTGTAAGAAGCAACCGCACAATTTAAAATGTGTACAAGAAACCTGGATTAAAAAAAATGAGACTGGAAAGGAGAAAATGAAGCTGATTTATTTTAAGAGTTGGTACAAGTGAAAAGAAATCTGGCAATTCAGCCATGCCAGAGAAAAGCCATACACTGCTTCATCTCAGTGAAAACGTTTTTATGTATAGGAAAAAAAAACAACCCATAGTATATATACAGGATTTGGTACTATCCAAGGTTCCAGGCATCCACCAGGGATTTTGGGATGTATTTCCCACATACCAGTGGTGGTGGGGACTACTGTATGTAATAACTTTGAAGGTTAGAAGACACATGACTGGAGAAGAGAGACTTTGCCATGAGATGACATATGAGTAAAGCTAAAAAGCAGGTTGAAACCTTATTGCACATCAATTTAAATGCCCTACGTTAAGTGTTTTGCATGCATTATCTTCGGGCTGGTCAGGCCAACAAATCTCAACTAAAACTAATTGTACTGAGGCAAATTGGAAATCGAAGTGATAAAGCAGACACTTTGTAAGGTGTCGATGAAGTTGAATACAGATTCCAGTCATTCCTGTGTAAATGGACTGACTGGGATGCATCTGGCAAAGGGATGCAAGGAATTGCCTGAGCAGAAGGCAATGGCCACTGCATTTGACACCTGGGATTCCTCCTACCACTGTTCTCCTCACTCACTCTGATGTTCCGGTCAGCCTGGCTAAAATCTCTCCTACCTCCTCCATCCCATGTGCTTCACAACGCTTTATATTACATATTAATAAAGTGACATATTTTGAAGAACAATGATATCCCTTGTTCAAAATGCATAATACCGATATTACCGCTACAGATGTGACAATCACAGAATGGACAGAAAATGTAAAAGCCTTTTTCTACAGCATTTACTTGGAGTTGTGTAGACATAATACTTAAATTTGTGTGCCCTCTCCATCCCTTTAGATTCATAAGCTCCTCAGTATTCTAGTTAGGTCTGACTTTTTGATGCCCACCATGTTTACAGCGCCTTGCTGGCCCTGGGAAGCCTGGCGAGTCCTGGCCCAGGCTCCATCCCTCCTACCCACTGTCCACACGACTAATCCGCTTCAGGGAGTGTCGGTCGTCAGTGGGACTGTGCACCTATGTACGTAGTTATTGTTGTAAAATGTGTAGACAACGTGATAAGACAGCACGGTTGAAGAAAATTGCCCTGGGAACCTGAATGTCAAATCTAGGTGATCTGATTGGCTAAAGGCCATTTTTGCAACCATGTACTGATGTTTTCAGATGACCTGGTAAGAGCAATCAGGATTTGGTAAGCCTCCTTTCAGGACGTCCAGCCATCTGGTGGGACCTCAGTCTGGACAGCAAGAAAACCACCTCCACTAACCACAAGGCATCTCCCATGAGACTTATGGAACGTTCTCTCTGCTGGACATCTTCTATGCTCTGCTGAGAACCTATCTTTGCCACTTAACATAGTAAATGGTAACTTGCTTAACATGTTTCAAATATTTCATTTATGCCAAAGTTCCAAATGAGTCCTTAACAGGACCTTTCCCAGGGAGTAAAGAGGTGATTCTTGAACTTATTGGACAGCAACTGCGTGTCCACTTTGTATCTCTATCTGTGTGCTGCATTACTCAGGCTCCCATTTATTTATGCAACAGATATTTACTAGAGGTGTTACCAGGGGTCAGATCTGGCACTAGGAGTTGGGCATATAGTGAACACAAAAGACCCCGATCCCTGATCTTGCAGGGCTAACATGGTTTTGAAGATAGTCATAAAATATGGGATTATAATAAGTTGTTATGAGCATTATAATTGATAAAGCAACCTGTGCTCTGGGAAAGCTTGTCAGGGTCCAGCACATAGTATACTAGTTGTCATGCAGTTTTTTATCTTTTCCTGGAGGTCTAAATTTAATACTTTGTAACACATGTAATTAGTAAATTAAACTTAGGAAAGAGGACAAGGGTTCCATCAAGAAGCAAGTTGATTTGGGAGAGTCAACCTACCAAAGACACATCGAGGATATGGGGGCACAGTGAAGGAATAAGGGATTTTTTTCCTCTTTTTTAAAAGATTAAAATTATCTTAATTTATAGATGAGTGCTCCTGAGGTGATTGTAGTTCCATTTTTCTAAATATCAGATGTTATTTATAAGTCAAACCAAATAAAATCATCTACTAGAGCTCAGAAAAGTATCTAAAAATTAGAGTACAGCCCACAGAAGGCCTTGTCTTTCCTTGCAAAGAGAAGAGCAGAGTCTCTTGTCATCCTTAATGCCAGGCACATTTCAAACCCCAGCTGTAGTTCTGGTTGGAAGTTTAGCTTCGTTACTTAATGCATATTTCCTTCTGGTCTCTCATGTATATTGGCTGGAAACTTCATTAAATGAAAAGTAATTGCATAATTCCTTCTCTTTAGAAAAATTCTGGTTCTTTTTTTACTTTGTCAAATTCAGCAGAAACCAGGACAAAAATGCAGTGACAAGCCTTTCTCTTAGGTGCCAGGCATGGCCAACTTTTGCACGTGCAGCCTTACAGAGACAGCGGCTCAAAGTGTACCTGGGCCATGAAATAGAGACAGTTTCCTTCCCTCCCAGTCCACAAACAAGCAACAAAGCAGGCTCCATCTTCTGCAGAATGGCAGAACGTATATTTTTAGAGTAGGGGCGGGGAGGCACACACCTACAGTTCCAAAGAACATTTTCTTATCATCTATTTTTAAAATGCAGAAGCCCAAGATAAGCATGGTTTCCATCAAACTCCCTCTGCCTCAACATTACAGACAGACACTTTGGGTCAAATAATTCTTTCCGTGGGGGACGATCCCATGCATCCTAGGATGCTTAGCAGCATCTCCAGCCTCCACCCTCTAGATGGCAGTGGCAGCCCTTCCCCCAGCAGGGACAACCAAAAATGTCTGCAAGATTGCCAAGTGTCCTTGGGGAGACAAAGTGGTCCTCTGTTGAGAACTACTGTTTCAGGTCGTTTTATATCCCCCCCAAGCCTTGCAGATGTAGCTGAGAATCTCTGCAACATTACTCTGCTTCCAGAAGCCCCAGAGCTACAACCCAGGCCTCCGGGTGGCCGAGGGGGCGGGGGGACCTGCAAGGGACCACTCGTCCCTCACTGAGCTCCAGAGATCTTGGGCTAATGGTAGCAGCAGGTGGTTAAGCTACAGCCCCAATCTTTATTTAGATCCAAAAACAATACGCCAAATTATGGTACTGCCTGAAACTTCCATCACTCATCACTTAAACGGATTTACCTTAGGCTGTGGTAACAAGTAGTTAGGAAAATCATTTCATCTGGCTCAAATTGCCCAAATTCTGGCAAACAGCTCTTCTGAGGGATAGTCTTAGTCAATAGGAGATTTTGCTAGAGTTCCTGAGTACCAAGTTTGGAAAACATTTCAAATTACTCATTGGTTTATGGCCATGTCTCAGGTTGTCTTCTGGCCTTTATTAGTTGCCACTAGCAATAAGTCTGACATTCATTGACTCATCAGATGTGCCCTTAGCACCTAATTCCAGGATACACTGTACCAGTAGTATCTGTAGAAAAAAATATATAGATATTAAATTATAATGAACTGAGCTATTCACTTGAACAAATCAACCTTTCTTATTCTTCCCTCTAAAGTTATTTCTGACTAGAGGTCTCACGAATGTATTTCTAAGTTTCCCCCAAGTTTCAGTCCTTAATTTCAGTTTCTAAATATCACAAATATATACAATTTCATGAAAATCACAAGAACTTTGCCATGTCTATAACATCATAAATAACTAAAGCTTCTTCCTTATCTAATCCTTCATCATGCAACCATTAAAATTATACTTAAAGAAATACATATAGCCATGTGAGAAAAGCTTATACTCTAAAGATAAGTGAAAAGCAAAAAATAATATGTACACAATGATATAACTGTAAACACATGAATGGATATGATTAGAAATGACTATATAAAATATGATTAGAATGAATATACAAAAAAAGTCATGTTGATGGGATTTATGATTAATTTTTTCTACTTTGGAAAGCCCATAATGTTAAACTGTTGTATTTCTTTGCATTATTCTTTTAAAATATTACATCTCTTTAATATTTGACCCTATGAACTCACACACTCTCTCTCCTAAGCTGGCCTTTTGAAACCCATGATTCAGTCAGAAACTCTAGCTCCAAGTCCTGTAATCGTGGCTCTTCCCTTTCCCTGAGCCTACCCACGTCACTGCCAGTCACCAGGGCTCCTGCTCTCTCTGCAAAGCAGCTTGGCGCAGTCAGCTGCACTTCTCTGCCCTCAGCTGCAAGGGACCCTTCCCATCACCACCAACCTGATTTACGTCCTCGGGATCTCTCGCTCGGGCCCTTACAATAAGACATTTCACCAGGGCCTGTGACTTGGTGCTGATGATGTCCATGCCGTCCTGCAAAACCCTCCCCTCTTCTTCCCACCTCACTGTCTAACACCCAGCTCTGGACATGCCACTTTCCTGCTTATTCTGAAGGGCCTCTCGCATCGGCTTCCCCCTCCCCTCCAGGACACTGCTCGCTGTCCATCACGAATCCCAGTTTACACCCCAAGCTCCTCCATTTCCAACACTTTCCTTCTCTGCCAAGAATGCTTTCCCTCTCAACATAATTATCTGAATTCCACACACCTTTCAAAGTCCAACTCAAATAGTATCCCCTCCTTGAAATGCTGATCTGCCCCAGTGAACATGGTTTCTCCTTCAGAATTTTCTCATTAAACTCCTTCTGCTGCCTTGAAGTATGGTACATGTGCGCATCTTTGAACTATGGAATTATTATACAATTACCTTGAATTATGGTAAATGTGTACATCTTTGTCTCTTTCTATTAGATTATAAACCCTTGTCTTTGAACATTTTGCTTTTAATTCTACACAGTTTTATATATGGTTGGTAATAAAAATATATTCACCGAACAAACCAATGAAAATAAAGTCTAAAAGAAAACAAACTTAGAAGTTCAATTAATGATCTTTTCTAGTTTAATATGTAACAAATTTATATTGACCTAATCTCATAGCTGAATTTTTAAGAAGAAAATGTCACAAATATGTCTCAGGTAACTCTTTTACTCCTCCTTTCTCTTTCCCTCCCTCAGACCTTCCCCAGAATGGTCACCTTATCTCAGACAGTCTCTACTCATATATACATGAAGCTTTTGATGATTTTATAGTCAGTGCTTATAGACATGACCTATCAAGCCCTCAAGATCAAGTTTTGAAAGAGCTAAAGCCAACCTGATTCTCTATATGTTAAACATTCAATAATTAAAAAGCTCTTCTAGAGTATTTGAATATTAATTCAGCTTAGTAGGATGGAACAGAAACTTCCTGGCACAGAAAAATAAGGGGGGTTTTCTGTAGGCTGTGGAATCACGACTAATGGTTAGGAAATCTGGGTGGATAACTGATATATAATAATTCTCAAGCTTCCTTTAAGCTACAATTCAACAGTAGTAAATACGATGAGGTCCTTTTTTAGAAATTAGAAAAATGGTGAAATACATACTCTTCTATTACTATAAAAGAAAATAACCCTGTTATGGGCTGTACAGAGGGAGGCAATAGGGGAATACAAAGATAAGATGAAGAAACTCATAAAGCAATGGTATTTCTAATATTCTGGTTCTTATTTTGAAGCCAAAAATATCCCTTTTATTATTATGCTACATATATTCTTTTCTAATAACCGTAACAAAAACAAGAGTTAACACGGACCATTGTTGTAAGCACTTCTACTATATTAACTCATATAAAAATCCCTACAATGCTAAGAGGTATGCATCATTATTATTCACATTTTACAGATCAGACAATTGAGGCACAGCTAAATTAAGTAACTTCCCTACAGTCAGCAAGCATTCTAGCTCCAGAAGCTGTGCTTTTACCACTCTGCTACCAGATACTTTAAAAAGAAGAAAAAGGAAAAAGAAACTTTAAAATGATAGAGTCCAGTGATTGTTTCTTAGGACAGCTCCACCATATCACTCGGCCACTGTTGTAGGCACACTTGGCCACTTAAAAGTTTCCTCAATGAATTCCTATCTCCTATAAGACATTTCTACTCTCTCATTAGGTTTCATTATTTTTCACAAACCATATTACTCACTTTGACCTTGCAGTTAACTCAAATACACATCTAGACTGTTTTCTTCTCCACCTATCCAAGACTACACTTCCAAAGACCAGATAAACTCCTAGCTTTGCCACAAAGCCTTTCCAGAGACATTTAAATAGTTGAAAAAGCAATTCTGCTACCAACAACTGTGTAAGTCCCGCCAAATAACCGAACCATTCCAACTTCCATTTTCCTGTAAAAAGAAGGATCTGATGATGTATAAGGTTGCTTCAGTTCTAAAGTCCAAACCATGTTGGTCTTTCTCAGTTTTGAATTCATGCAGATTTTTACCTATGATCAAAACTTGAGTTTCTTTTGTTTGCCATTTACCCTGTTGGGCCACTGAAAACTATCGCATGTTTTCCTCTCCTCTCCATTAGTCAATAACGGAATTAGCAAGCAATTATTAAGCCATATGCCAGATGCTGTGCCAGGCACCAAAGGCATAAACAGTACTAACAGCATGTAATTGGTTTTCACTTACTACCTAAAGAAATTTTGTAGCCAAGCCTGAATCAAGAGTTTAGGACTAACTCGTTGGAGAGATTATAATGTGGTTCCCCCAAAGAGGCCATCGCAATAGATATTTGTGGATTAAACGGTTGAATAAATTGGGGGCTCTCCCTGCTCTACTAAGAACTCTAAAACATTCACAGTAAATGTTGAAGGCCTCTACATCTATACATGCTTAACAGAAACCACGGGAAAAAGTTTTAAAACATTTAGCAGAGTTGTTCTCAAATGTGTTCAAGTGGTATGGCACTTGGAAATGGTGGTCTATTAAAAAAAGGTATTAATAGATAATGTGAAAATATCTTCATTTCAAAGTAATGTATAAATAATTTAAAGGAAAATCATACTTTTAAGTTTTTATTGTTTTCTTCTCACTTTTTCATATATTTTTATTATCTAATAGAGTCACACCAAAGGATAATGCAGCTTGGAACAAAACAGTAAAAGTTTTATCAGTGTGTATACGAAGTGAAAAAAAAACTATCTTCAGTCTTCACAGCGACAAGAGGGAGGGCTCTATGAGAACCATTTTCTTAATGGAATCGCATATTTTAGATACTTCCTGCATTATCTGCTGAAATAGTATGTTTGTAATCATGGCAGATCAACCTCCAACAACTGTACATATGAAATTAAACATTTTTCAAACACTGGATTTTTCCTTAATACTAAAGATTGCTGCAAATCTTTAACATGTCTCGGTAGCTTTAGACTAAGCTGGGATTCCATCTTATGAGAACGCAAGACAATTTAGCCATTTCACCCTCAAACTTTGCTAATGATCATTCATTAATCAGTGGCCAAAATATGAGACTCTGCCATTAAAATACTGTTGAGAAGGGATTTAGAAACAGTCCTTCCATTTGGCCTATTTCTGACTCCCAGATCAAGGCATGGGCTGCAATACTGGTACATAATTTAACAGCACACTCTCGTCTCCACTGTATGCCCAGAGTTCTAAATGAATATCCTGAAGCTTGCTTGGGTCTACCAGCTCTGCACACGGTAAGCCCTTTTCCTGTGAGTCATTCACTTTTGTATTTTTTATAGACATTCGGTTGGCTTTTGTTATGAAATATAAAATATTTCAACAGTAAATGATTTTCCCTTCCCCCAACTTTTAATATTGCTCTCTCTCTCTCTCTCTCTCTCTCTCTCTCTCTCTCTCACACACACACACACACACACACACACACTCAGAGCTAACAGCTAATTTGGTAGGAAAATGACTCTGAGTCTTTCTTCATATTTGAATCTATGTAAATAAACTAACAAAGAAATACAATGTCATGGGAGAGTATAGAAAACACACAGGACTTCAAACCACTTCCAGCTCTGCTCCTTGTTAGACTGTGACTTAAATTTTCTGTTCAGTCGTCTTTAAATTGTCTTTCACAGACTTAGAAGGCAACATAACCCACTGTTTAATAATACAGGTTTGGCTCCAGGCTGAATTACAGTTCAAATACTGGCCCCACCATTTAAGTAGGTGTGCGATCTAAGTATGAAAGTCAACTACTTACCAGAGTGTCTGATGCATAATAAATGTTAAATAATCAGCTCCTGTCATTTCTCCTTTGAAAACTGTAAAGCCCTCCACTGATACACATTTCTATTACCCAAAGATGTGCATAAAATAAGATGTCCGATAAAGAACACACATCAAATGCTTTCTCAGTATCCAGTATCATATCCTGCCTTATCTACAAAGCTGGCCTGCCCTTCCCGGATAGAGTGCTCTCATCTCTGACACCCTGACAGAGGCAGAAGGCCAGCCTTTATTCCCCGTAGTCTTTGAAGACTCAGATAGCTGTATTAATTAATAACCTCACTGAAGGTTACCCATCAGAAAGAAGGGGGGAAAAGTCCCAGTCGCTCTAGTTGGAGACATCATTCGTCATGTACCTGACGTCTGTTAAGTCTGCCTGGCATTCCTGAAAATGGCACACACCATGGGAAGATATTACCAAAGCAGACAAGTATTTAACCTAACTATTAAGTAGCTCCCTGCTGTCTACTAATTCATTTCAAAGGTAATCTATCTTCAGAGGAACCTACAATTTTGACACTTTATTTGCTCAAGCTATAAAATATTTATTGGGATTCCATGGCTATTTTAATAAATCAGGGTTGCCCTCTCTCCCCTCATGTTGGATAGTAAAACCATGGAGAACCGTGCCTAGTCTAAGTGATCTAATTTCATTCCCATTAAATTTGTCAGAAGCAAGCATCTTTGATTTTTTTAACCCTACCATTGAAAGCCCAGGGCCTTCGTTCTAAATGAAAACACCACCGTCAGAATCTTGGGTTTCATTATTAGTTAGCTTCTGTTTAATCTTATGGAAACCTCTAAAAGAGGAAACCATATTATTTTCTCCCCAGGAATTTAATACAATTGCTATGCACTCTTGAGAGTGGGACATGGTTCAATTTCTCATGTTTATAAACATGAGTAGATAACAATAGATGAGTAAAATGCATGATAGAGCTTTTTTTTTTTTAAAAAAAAATAGCACCTAGGATTTGTTATAAAAGTGTACAATGCTGTGGTTAAACAGACATACACAAGACATACACAGTGTGGCTCTCTCTCCTGAGTAGTATACTCAGAGCAACATTTGAAAATGCTTATTATGTCTCATTTTAAAAGAATTTCTACACTGTAGTCTCCCTTTATCTGCATGGGCTATGTTCCAAGACCCCCAGGGGAGACCTGAAACTGCCAGTAGTACCACACCCTATATATAATTGTTTTCTTTCCTGTGCATACATACCTTTTCACTTAAAGGAGGCACTTACTGGCTTCTTTGGCATATATGAATTGCCAGCATCACTACTCTTGTGCTTTGGGCCATTATTAAATAAAATAAGGGATACTGAACACAAGCATGTGATACCACGACAGTCCATCAGTTAACTGAGATGGCTACTTAAGTGATGGGCAGGCCACGTATACCGAGTGAATTTACTGGACAAAGGGATGATTCACATCCCAGAAGAGACAGTGGGATGTTCTGAGATGTCATCATGCTACTGAGAGTAGCACCCAATTTGAAACTTAATGAATTTTTTATTTCTGGAATTTTTCCATTTAATATTTTTGGACTGTGGTTGACTGTGGGTACTGAAACCGCAGAAAGTGAAACCATGGATAAGGGGGAATTACTTTTCCTCCAAAATATTTATTTAAAATGAGTGGAGGATTTTTACAGGAAATATCTAGTCTCAATAATGTATCATGAGAATGAGTTATGTAGAAGCACCAAGAATAAATTAATATACCCTTCATATGTAATGGGAATCCAGTCTTTCCTCAGAGGACTTATGCAATTCTTTTTTAAATATAATTTTTTGGAGAACAAGTGACAAAAACATTTTAATGTGGTAACGATATTAGCAGAACAAGTACCTACTTAAAGAGTTTTTACCTAGGTCATTAAAAGTATTACAGAATTGCAAGGCAAAGGAGTGCACACTTCTGCAGAGGACTATAGTAACTATGGAAATGCCTCCTGTAGAGACAGAGGGTGTAACTTATCATTTTTAAGCCAAAAATGCTCTACTCTGGATATATCTTCTTACCCAACCAAGTAATCTAAATCTCCGAAATTGGAAAGATCATGGAGCACTCACTTGCAGGCAATCACAACCAGACCACCACCTCCACAGTTTCATTTGATGCTAATACTCATATCACTCTAAAGTCCAGGTATCTCAGCATTAATTTTCTAGCTCTTGGCTAAAAATGTTTACCTAAAATAAAGGTATCGTACAAAAAAAAATCAGCTTAAGGCTAGATTTGTTGTGAATTGACCTTGTGCACTATTCACAGGACTGCAAATTGGTGCAGCCAGTATGGAAAACAGCATGAATATTCCTCAAAAATCTAAAAATAGATGTACTATATGACCCAGCAATTCCACTTCTGAGTATTTATCCAAAGATAAGGAAAACACTAATTTGAAAAGATATATTCACCCCTATGTACACTGCAGCATTATTTATAGTAGCCAAGATATGTAAGCAGCCTTGGTGCCTATCAACAGATGAATGGATAAAGATGTGTTTCTCTCACACACACACACACACACACACACACACACACACACAATGGAATATTACTCAGCAACAAAAAACACGAAATCTTGCCATTGCGACAACATGGATTGACCAAAAGCATATTATGCTAGATAAAGTCAGTCAGACAGAGAAAGACAAATACTGTATGATTTCACTCTTACATGGAATCTTAAAAAAAAAGGAACAAAACAAAAACAGAAATAGAAATAGAGACCAAAATGATGGTTGCCAGAACAGAGGGGAATGGGTGAAAAACATGAAAGGGAATATAATCAATAATATTGTGATAAGTTTGCACGGTGACAGATGAGAACTAGAATTTGTGGGGAGATCACATTGTAAGGTATAAAAATGTCTAATCACTATCTTGTACACCTGAAACTAAGATAACTAATATAGTTGTTATTGTACACCAACTATACTTAAATAAAAAAATATTTTTTCCAATTCCAACGTTGAACTAGTTAAAAACAATAGCATGCCAAAAAAGCCCTTATATTTTTAAGCATTTTGGAAATCTAATTGTAAAGAATGGCAGCCCAGATTGTTGTTTTTCTTTCTGACAATGTCTGATTTCTTTGTAGACATTAACCACAAGTACCATGGTCTAGTATGCTGTCATTAAAAAGCCTATTAAGATGGCTTTTCAAGATTTCCAGTAGAGTTAACATGTGTCAACTACTGTCTTCAGCAAAGCTAGCAGAAGGGACTGCTGGGCTGTTATTTTTTAAAGCGAGTATATGTTTTCAAAACAGGTGTTACTGTTGACATGACCATTAAATATCCTGCTTCTCCACAGCTCCTAGAAAAACAGGTACTTTCTCTTTTCTCATTTTAATTTTTAATATAAATTCCTGTATCCTACAAATAGTCGTATGCCTGGGGGAATTTCCCGAATAATAGGAAATCTGGAAGGTGTGCCTCTCAGTATGACACCAGAGCTCACCCCCCCCCCCCATTATTTGGAGACTTACTAGCAGAAGGACTCAGCAGACTAGACCTGGAAGCTGCAAACACAATTAACATGGGAGCTGGGCTTGCCTCTCTCGCAATAGTGGCCAGGAGGTAGTGGGGAAGTAGAACAAGTCTAGAGGTGGTTATTCTTTGGTTCCTATAATTATACTACTGCTAAAAACATATGCCAAAGGACAGAGCAAACCTGTATATTCCAGAATCAAAGAGAGTTAAAGGCAAATGAGATCTTCAAGATCTGCCCGTTCAGGGAGGCTTGATGTTTACCGTGTATAGGAATCGTCCTAGTCCCACCCCTGAGGTTCTGACTCGGCAACAGGGGTTGCAGTTGCAGAAGTAGGAAGAGTACTGGGTAATATATAACATTTTGAAAGCACCTGCTTTGTACCAAATAGGGTGCTGAGTTCTTTACAAATACCACCTTATTTAATCCTCACAACAATCCTATTGGGTAGATGCTACTACCCCCATTTTACAGATAAGAAGATCAAGCCAGAAAGGTTAAGGAATCTGTCCAAGGAAATGAGTCTGCTAGGAAATGAATAAGGATTCAAACCTAGATGGGTTGGCTTCAGAGTCTGAGCTCTTCATTAATCCCTACCCTACACTGCTCACCAACAGGCTCAGCGTGGTCCCAGGACATAAAGATAATGTCATGACTGAAATCAATCTTCTCTTTCTTGAATGGAGACACTGAAACCCAGAGAAGGGAAGTCTCTTATCCAAGACAAAAGTCCTTCAGTGCGCTTCCAGGAAGAAATCCACCATTTTATGACACCAGCTGTACTTTTTTTTTTATCCTCACGTGAGGACATTTTTTTTTCATTGCTTTTTAGAGATGGGGAGAGAGAAACAGCGATGTGAGAGAGAAGCATCCATTGGCTGCCTTCTTGTACATGCCCCGATGCGGGGAATGGAACCTGCAACCTAGATATGTGCCCTGACTGGGAATTGAATCTGCAACTGGGACTATGATCCAACCAACTGAGCCACAATGGTCAGGGCAACATCAGCTGTTCTTAACCTTCCTCCAGGTAGAAAATGAGCATATGGCATTAGTAAAAGCCAGCCTGCTGATCCTAGCGCTGTTACTCTGACCCAGGTGCTGTTCTGAGTAGGCTTTCCATCCTTTTCTGCCCAGTTCATTCTTCACTCACAGGATATGACACTTCAGAGTCAGAGTAAGAGGCTCCCAACCATGGTGATTCTCAAGGGAGGGAAAAGGGAAAGGGGACGGAGAGATGCCATCCCTGAAAGGGGAGCAGCAACTCGAATGTGGGAGGTCAGGGTCACATAATTTGAGCAGGGGGAAAAAAAAGATGTGATTCTGATATGGTCCCCAATTACAGTCTTCCTAAGTCCCCTAAAGACTTAGTCCCCTTAGAATAGTCCCCTAAACCGACTATTCTAAAACCTTAGTGTATGTTGAAATATCATTAGCTCTTTGCTTTGTTTTAACACACACACGCAGGCAGAATACCCAGAATGATCAGCTCTATCCCAAGCTAGGACTACCCACATACATTCTCTCAAAAAGCAATCAATACTTTTTCCAATATTTGATATGCATGATTGGGCCAAAAATCTTACAGATGTACTGAAATAGTGTCTTTTTACTTAGCTGTCCTTTCTGTTCAATAACCAACGTTACTCTGGGGGACCACAAGCAAGGATAATAACAAAAGATGAACTAGCATGACCACTAGGCATAGGCATTTTCCAGAAAACAATGACAGCTGTGGGGCGGGGAGCCAGACTTTGTTCCTATGCTAATGACGCAAACTGGTAGCCACGTCAAACTGACCTTCATCACTTCCACCTGCAGGTCTTCGTTGAGGGACGGCGTCACTTTCACAGCATTCAGGATCTGATTGAGCAGCTGCTTCTCGTCAGAGTCCGTTTCCATGGATACAAACCTCTCTTCTGACAGAAGCTTCTGTAAAGAGGCACAAGGCAGTGATCACAGATAGGCCTTTCCCTGCTGCCTGATTCTGTTGTATCTTAGTATGTACTGAGGATAATTTTTCTTAGGAGACATGTAGCTGGAGGCCATTAGGGAAGAACTCCTGCTATGTGCCATTGAAAAGAGAAAAAAAACACACGTCAGACCTTTGGTAAATGGTTTTTGTTGGCAAAGTCTTTTTCCTGGTATTAGCTAATTCATTATAAATTTTAACAAGAGAAATTCTAAGTGGTAGGCATAAAGGTTATTTGGGTGATGGACGTGGAGGACGAATGTGGCAAGGTGAACCCACCCCTCACAACAGTCATGCTCACGCACACTCTTCTTGAATGGAGCTCCGTCACAGGAAAGGAGAAGTCTTGTAGACAAGTTCCTTTTCTCAGATGTTTACTTTTTTACTTACTACTGTGAACTGTCATTTACCCAGGAATTTTTCATGAATCCACAATTCTTAATGTATTTTCATTAACAAATGAATCTTACAAAAACCTATCCGAGAAGACAGTCACGCCTTGACTGGTGTGGCTTAGTTGATTGGGCGTTGTTTCACAAAATGAAAGGTTGCCGGTTCGATTCCCAGTCAGGGCGCATGCCTGGGTTGCGGCCTGGTCCTTGGTCAGGTTGTGTATGAGAGGAAACCAATCAATATTTCTCTCTCACATCGATGTTTCTGTCCCTCTCTTTCTCCCTCCCTTGCCTTCTCTCTAAAAATAAGTAGATAAAATTTTTAAAAAAGAAGATGATGATGATATTCACTTTCATCAGGTTTCCCATGAGTCATTACACCTCACAGGACAGCCCTTTCCTCTTTCAGGACCACTCCTGCTTTTCATAAAATTCTTAAGATTGTACCCAACCTGCCTGCCTACAACTTCTGCTCCCTCATCCTTCCCTCGAGCCACATGGATTAAGCTTCTAAAATATTTGAAGTCAGCTATGAAGTCCGCCCAAGTCTTTTCTTCTCCATCTTAAACCTCCTTGGGCACTTTCACTGACACAGTTTCACAGATGCTCTCCTGCTCAGCATGTGGCCTCCAGAGTGAATGTAATACTTCAAGGGCGGTCTGACATTAAAGAGTAGTGTGCCCTGAGGTAAACTTTGGGCTGTAGGTGAGTATGACATGTCAATGTGCTCCTCCTTGATTAGAGGAGAGGAGGAGAGGAGGGAAGGGAGGGGGAGGGGAGAGAAACACCATGTACCATTCTGGTGAGTGATGTTGATGACGAGGAGGCTGTGCATGTGCGGGGGCAGAGGTATGTGGGAAATCTCTGCACCTTCCTCTCAATTTTATTATAAACCTAAAACTGCTCTAAAATAATCAAGTCTTTTTTAAAATGATTAAAAAAAATACCCAGGCTGGTGTGGCTCTGTGGATTGAGTGCTGGCCTGCAAACCAAAGGGTTGCTGGTTTGATTCCCAGTCAGGGCACATGCCTGGGTTGTGGGCCAGGTCCCCAGTCAGGGGGCTGCAAGAGATACAACCGCACACAATTGTTTCTCTCCCTCCCTTCCCCTCTGTCTAAAAATAATAAACAAATAAAATCTTTAAGAAAACAAAATAAAATGATAAACAAATTAAAAGATGGCAGAGAGAAATAATAAGAAAGGAATGGGGTCTTTGGTGGCACAACTGAGCTACAGCACCAAACGTATAACTGCCCACCTCTAGGATTCTGGTTACGTAAAGTAATTAAATGTGTTTATTGCCTAAAATCAAACAAATAGTAATTCATAGCTTTAATCACATTCTCAGATCAAATTAGCTTAGTTGTAAGTCATGGCACATGATGCATTGCCTTACCCAGTAACTCCTAATTCCCATTCATGAGGGCTGAAATTAAGCTCTTCTCCCCTCAGTCTGTCCTGGACAGCTGGATCTGTGAGACCCAGTGAACGCCTTCCTATGAATCTCTGTTCAATCTGACCTTGGCCAATGCAGTGCACAGTCACAGCTGTGAAGAACTTTTGGATTCTGATTCATCCAGAGTAATGACTCCCTCTTTTAGTTGAACACCGCTGCAGATCAGGACAAGTAAGGCAAACCTCCCTCTCAGGACTTGCTGGCATTTTGCCTATATTCTCTCCAAAGAGCTTTCTCACTATCATCTAGCGCATGCAGGGCGGCTCAGAGTTAAAGTTAATAGACAAACCTCTTAATAATTACGGCAATAAAGACTGGGAAGCCCTAAAAAAAAAAAAAGCTTCTGAAGTTAATGGGAGGTAACAAGAAATGGGAAGAGAAAGCTCATTGTCCTCCAGGTCATGGATGTTATCATAATGAAGCAAGCCCTTGAAGTCTCAGTACTTTAACTTAGAGTGTCGGAGGGTTAAAAAAAAGGAACTAAATGCAAAATCTATACCACGCTAGAGAAAAAGAGAATCAGTGGCAGCTCAAAACAACTTCCCATTCATTTTTATGGTTGGCCCAATTATCTTGCAGACAAGCAAAGGGTTTTAATAACATTATGGACAATAATTGAAAAATTTCTAATGCTCTTGCATATAAAACACTATCAAATTCCAATCCAGTGGGGGGAAAAAAGAGTCCTACTTCTCTTACTTTTTCAAATGTGTTAACTCAAAAGGTATTAGGGACCTCTCTGAACCTAGCAGGCTTACAATGAAATCGTGAACACTGATGTGAAAAGACATCCTACAACGCTGCTGTGAGTCCACGGCCCTGCTGAAAAAACCGCCGCAGGCTTGAACTGCACAGCGCTTGTCACTTAGAAACCAAACCACTTAAAAAAGTCAATGCATTTACATAGTCATCTCCTTTGCACTGCTGGGATCAGATCTATTATGTAATGTGTAAAACACAAATGAACAAATGCTCAGAGAAGGAAATGTGTTCAAGCAACCTGACTTTTCTTATTAGGACAGATTTCTTTTTTTCTCCCCAATCTTGCTCTGGAAGCAAAACACACTGATCCATTTGCCAACCTAACTGTAGAGTAGAAAACAAAAAATCTTTCAGGTGTACCATCAATTTTCATGACACTGAACCATAGATGTTGAGTGTATAGAAGATTGGAGTTGGTATGGAGCTTGAGGCATCTCTCTTGAAATTCTTTATTCTCCCGGAAGCTGGACATCACATACAATATTTCATTTCTGTGTAGGCTTAGTTGGGTTCCAATGAATCACCGTGTGAGGACAAATGCTCAACAAGATAATGCTGTGCACAGAGAAATGCTGATAAATATTTTTAAAAATCTTATTATCCTCTGTGGTTATTACCTAGTTCGACTGAAATTGTGTGTCTTTAAACAGCTCGCATTTAAAATATTAACTATTTGCTCTTCCCATGCCAAAGTGGCCTGTCAACTTCTATTGCAACTTCCCCGCCCCTGCCAACGCAGTCAGTGAGAGCCATACCTGTATCCCTGCCAAGGCATGTTGGGCCAGCTTCATATTCTTGGATTCCAAGGCCAACTGGAGAGGCAGCAGGCATTTCTCCCTGGCAAACACATAAATAAGGACAACATGTGAGCTCAGCAAAGTTGGCAGTCAAGTGATAGAAGCCTTATGCACACCCTCCCCCCCAAGTGCTGCTCCCCCCCACACCCACACAAACTATAACCAATTATAAAAATGCACATGAGCTTTAAAAAAAAAAAGACATGGCACACACACAAAAAAAAGTTGTGCTGAAATGACAGTGTAGCAGCAGCCTGCCTTCTTAGCATGGCTCCAGGATCAGCAAACACAAGGGCTCCCAAACGACTGTTTCAGTGCACCAGTGATCACAGGATGGGAACCTCACCGGTTCACGAACATGCCCTTCTCTTTCCCAGATGAACAGGACTGCTTGTACCCACCCACCCGGGATATACAACTCCAGGGAGCGCCGTTTACATGGATTTCTATGTCTTGCTCATTCCTCTCCCTCCCTTAGGAGGTGACGGCATCTCCACCACTACCTTGCCTCATCAGTATAAACTGATATTCTATTTACTTGTCCATTTCTCCCCAAGTCAATGTGCTCAATAATCATTTATAATTTTTAAAATGTTTTCTTCAGTCTCCAGTAACAGTATATATGAATCTTTGGATGGATTCTTAATAAACATATTTTCAAGACAGAAATACAAATGAATCATCAATAGCTTTGACCAAGGAGATGTAACTGGAGTCATGGAAGAAACAAACAAAATACGTAGAGAGCTATTTGGATATTTTAAAGCTTAAAGAAAGTAACTGGACACTAAAACGTGAGCAATAAACTGAAAGGACTATGAAGAGAAACATATCTGTTGGAAGTATTCACTCTAAATAATTAAACAACAGACCAAGAATTTTAATCACCCCATTATTTCCCCATGGAGTTACACTGGCACAACAAATGAAATGTTACTTAATTCTGCAGGGTTCTTCCATCCCCATTGAAACCAGAGCAGCCCCATTGTTGTCTGTCTTATATTTTCACCATAAACTGAAAGAGTCATCGACTTTAGAGAGCACGAAAGCCACAGGGTAAGACTACAGGATTTCGTCTTCGGGGAAATAAGGGTCACCGCTGTAGAACACAATGAAACAGAAGTTAATTATAGCTCTGCGTCCTTCCCGTCCACCCTGCAGCTCTGCCGTTTCTCTATGGACTCCTCTGTCAGCAGCTCACAAGAGATGAAGTGAGAGTCACAGACACTCCCTAATACTGGTCACAAAGAGAGGACAAAACAGGCTCTATCACAAAGAGCATTCACCTTCCTAATCCTTCTCACCTCTCCCCTCCCTAACTGGCTGTTACAACGTCCACTGTTCTATGACAACTGATTAACACTAACGCCATTTTTTTATTAGCTACCTCCTTTGACAGATGAATTACTCAACTGTGTTACTTCCAGTTGGGCAGCTATCATCATCGGCTTGTAACAATTACAAGGCAAACGCTATGCTGCAGTCAATTAAAGCAGGAATAACTGATTTTTCCAGCGTTGTTTCTTTTATTTGATCATAATCAGTTTATAAGCTTGGAAAAATTAACTGGAAGGGAAAATGGAGTGAGAAGTAGGAATAGTGGGCAGATGGAGTATTAACAGAAGAACCACAGAACTTCATCTGTAAACACTTGAAACAAATTTCCACCTGGGCTAATTCACTGTGAGAGAACTTCCATCTCAAATTCAGAGTCGCACCTGTCAATGTGGGCCCAGTACCAGCGGGCAAGTGTGGAGGTCCAAACCTCCTGTAGTCTCATAGCCAGGAGCAGGGAAAGCCTCTGTTGAGTGGCCATGTGCTGAAAACGCAGGAGTATTACATATTACTCATTAGACCATCCAACAAGAACAGAAGCCATGTTCAGCAGCAGCAAGAACGCCCTGGAAATGGCAAGTGTGCTAACCCTTGGGAAGCAGTGTTATGTCTGCACATAAACAGGTGCACACTCGTGTTACTGCCATCTGCACTGTTAGTCCTCGAAATCCTCACTCCACTCTCTCACCTATTTATTTATACACTCACACGGTTTATACTGCAGACCTGAGCCAGGTTGTGGACAAATGCCAGGACTGCCAGGTTGTACCACGAATCCAGGGTACCTCACTGAGTTGCTCTCCATGCCAGTCATGGTCACCAGGCAGGACTGGAAGATGTATTGGGTTCATCCAGGTATTGGCTGAGTTGAAAAGTATCAGTATTTAGTGGGGGAAAAAAGGAGCTGCAGAATCACACAGTCCTGGATTCAAACCGTAACCATTTATAAGTTGTGCAATCTCAGTCATGATGGCTAACTCTATTGGTCTTAGCTTTTCAATCCATAAAAAGGGCATCTTAAAAATAATCCTGCAGTTACAGTAAGAAGTATGGATAATATATATCCAGGGTTGGCAAACTTTTTCCACAAAGAGGCAGATAATAAATACTGGGTTGGCCAAAAAGTTTGCTTGGTTTTTTCCATAAGATGACTCTAGTAGCGCTTAGTTGTCTTTAACTTCATTTGAAACAACCGTTAGATTGTACTGTGACAGCTATCATATCAACATGCACTTTAAAAAATTTATCAAAATTGGTGAATTTTTGTGTGGCCATTTTAATATTGAAGGTGGAAGAAAATATCCAACTTTTTTTTCATATTATGCTTTATTATTTCAAGACAGGTAAAAATGCAACTGAAACACACAAAAAAATTTTTGTGTAGTATATGGAGGGGGTGCAGTGACTGATGGAACATGTCAAAAGTGGTTTGCGAAGTTTCATGCTAGAGATTTCTCACTGGACAATTCTCCACAGTTGGGTAGACCAATTGAAGTTTATAGCGATCAAATCCAGATATTAATTGAGAATAATCAATGTTATACCATGCAGGAGATATACTCAAAATATCCAAATCAATAAAGGTATTGGTGAAAATGAAAAATGTGTCTTTTATTTAATGGAAAAAACTAAACAAACTTTTTGCCCAACCCAATATTACAGGCTTTGCAGTCCATATGGCTTCTGTCCTAACAACTCAAGTCTGCCATGGAACAAAAGCAGTCATTGAGGATTCGTAAATCATTGAGCGTCGCTATGTTCCAATAAAACTTTGTTTGCAAGAATAGACAACTGCCCAGATTTGGCCTACTGGCTGTAGTTTGCCCAGACCTCTTACAGACAAAGGCCCAGCAGAGATGAAAATTTTCAGCACCAGACACACAGGTGTACTTCTGCCATAGTATCCAGGAAGATTTTGGATGGGACATGGGGCTAACTGTCCTGACAGGGTGGTCTTAGTAAAACCAATTGTAGCACCAAGATCTCTCTTAGAAAAAAAAGTGCTTTGAGGAAGCAGGCTGAGAGATTTCATCTGGGCACTGCACCAAGGCACTCACTCCACCCATCCAGCCAGCCATTCAACCAACATTTGAGTGCCTACAGTGTGCAATGCATGATGGGTGCTCAGGAAGGTCTGGCAATGAGTAAGATAGAACAGATAGTTGCTTTCATTTTATTCATGAGATGAAAGAGAGAAAAAAGAAAACTAACATTTATCATTTCTCTTTTTCATCTACCCTACAACCTTAAAATAGGCATCCTTAACCTTGTTTTACATTTGAGAAAATGGGGGTTCAGAAACGTTTCATAGCCTGTCTGGTCATGTCCAGGCCACATAGCTAAAAATCTGTTGGAGACAATTCAAACCCAATTCCACCTGACTCCCAGGACCAAATTCCTTCCACCACTCTTTGGTTTCAAAAGACCAGAGCACAGCTGGAACAGATGGGTTTCTTAACCTGTTTTTGGATCATAAACACAAAAATCCGGCAAAAGATCCTCTTCCTAGAAAATAATTTCAGGGGATTCCCAGCCCCCTCTCCCAAACCCCAGCTCAACAGGGATCCCATGTTAGTATCCCCTGCTCTCAGGGGAAAGGACCCTGCCCAACACAGCAGAAATTTCAGTGCTGCCTTAGAGAAGAAGGCCATGATGTCCCCTGGTTGGGCTTAGCGTTCCACTAGGATGGGTGGTAGCTGTGCACACGTGCGCGCGCGTGTGGTGAGGGAGATGACACACTTTCTTTAGTACTCAAGGCCTCTCATCCCCTCAGACCCAGAGGTCCTAGATCAGCATCATAAACCTCAGATCCTGACTTCGATAGGGGAGGAAGACATGCAGGAAATGAATGAAGCTCACGGGGCGCAAGTGATTTCACTGCATGCTCTGTGATGCCATAAAAATCCTGCTGCCTAGTTTTTTAAAGGTGATTTTAATAGAAGAGGATAACAGGGCCTGTGAACTGGGTCTCAGAATGAAATTTATAATATGGATGCAACATAGCACACGCTCTGTGCCCTTTTCGCACATGCTGTGTTAGAATGAACCATTTATCATCTTTCTAGATGTTGCCTCATTGGGATGAGGGAATACCAAGAACCAATATTCAATTATATTAAGTGATTATTTTTTATGCACAGGCACGTGCAAACTCACTCTTGCCTAATTAAATAAAGGCAGTGGCCCCCGGTTTCGTGTCCTGACATGCCATTAGTTCTTAAGGCAGAACAATGAGCAGTGATGCTTGTGCATGAGGGAGACATCATCCTGTGACACAGAGGCTGGTCATGGCCAGGAGGCTGAGTCTATTTCCTTAACTGCATTGTCAGGTTCACAGGCCAGCTTTATTGGACTGGAAGATAACAGAAAAGGGGAAATTAAAATAGCTGAAAAGGGAAAAAGTTAGAATTTTCCAAAAATTACCTTTCAATATGTGCACAAACATGAACTTCAAGTGAAACTAAATGCATTCCTGAATGTTAGGCTGATTCCCCTTTGCTGTGCCTCATGGGAAGGAGCACAAAGGTCCTTTAGATTTCTGAGGTCTGCTCATACTCTCTGATTCTAGGGTTCGGTAACCTAGCCCATTTATTCAATAACTGGATTCCTTTACACAATCACCATGACTCCGGTTGAAAGTCAGTGGTTTCTATGTGTAAAGTACCATGCTACACACAGCTGTATTTACGATTTTATTTAATTATA